CCCAGAGAGCAAAGCAAATGGTTAGAAGGCATCCTGATTATGTGGGCTCTTTTCCTCTTTTAATAGCAATCAATCAGAAATCAAATATGAAGCTAAAATTATCAGGCCACTGCATGGCTCAGATCTCTGCCACCTGGGGGTGGGATTTATGTTTTTAAAACTTAGAACAAATAGATTATGAAAATGATCAATCAACTATTAATAATTCAAGGTTCAGATTTTTTTTTCTATCCCTTTCTTTCTCTTACATACACCAAATGAGGGAAAAAATTGCCCTGTCTAAATAACCTCTCCCCTAAATCATCCAGCTGATTTGTAAACCGTAAGTAAAATAAAAAACTGGCATTGCTAGAAGGAGCACCAGGTTCAATGCTACATTCTACCCTACTGCTTTGAACCTACAAGAATCTCTTTAGAGAAGCAGTAAAGTTAGTTGGGTGGATAATGTCAGGATATAATATTCAATAATGGCTTGATATTGTTTCTTTTCATAACAGGAAGGATGAACAATGAGCTAAAACTGGAGGCACCTGCTTGGTACCAAAGATTTTTAAAAAAGAAGAAGGAGAAACAAAAAGTAGAAAAAGAAAAATTAAATTCCCTTTCACCAGCTAAAGAAAAAGTCTAGGTTTTATACCCCTACAACCTAGAGATAGTCAAAGCAATCATGCAGAATATTCCTGGGGAGAAAGAGACCTCAACTCTCAGCTGTTCAGCCAACTTTTTGACTTAGAAAATGTCTTTACAAGGGAATACTGAAATAACACAAACAGAGGTTTATGGGATAGAAACAGTGAAAGATCTTAAACAAAACTAAACACAGATCTGGGGAGCTATGACCACATCATCTTAATTTCCCATTACTTGCTTGTAATAATATATAACCCAGGCTCTTCTCTCAACTCTAGTGCTCTGAATTCCCATAAGGAAATATCACTTTTCAGAGAAGAAAAATAATCAAACACATTTTCCTGTATAGTTAATGAGAGGTGATGGAGAGGGAGAGGTGGAAGAAAGTAGGGTCAGAAGGTCACAGGGCTTTTCGATTGTTTTATCCAATGTAATAAAAACTTCCTCAGTGTAGAGATAGAAAGTACAAAACTGAGATTTCAAATGGCTGTGCTGAGCTGAATTGTGTGAATGCCTTCACTAGGAAGAAAGAGTGTTTTTAACTTGTTTGCAAGTTTTATTGAATAATGAATGATGTAAGTAAGACCGCCTAATTTATTAACAAGTCCAATCTGGCTTAATGCAACCACAATCAAAACTTAGGCTGCAGTTCTTAAATGCATGTAAAGCACAATTCAAGGTTCTAGAACTCCCAGTGGAGGGGCTGAGAAGTAAATATCAGAGTGATAAAATCTGATGCCTGTGAATCCTTCTAAATGCCAGAATTTTTTAGTACAATTAACTGCAGCAGTGGAAAAGCTTACGCAGGTGAGAGAGCCAAGTTTAATGTATTAATGACATAACATTACAATTGCTTAACCAAGCCAACAATGAATTGCACACAGAGGCTTGAGCAGCAGAAGCCACAAATCCTATTTATGTTGTACTAAGAAGAAAAATATTAGATTGGTCTCCAAATATCAATCCCAAATCAGCGAATGTCACCATAGAAATTTAGAAATAACAAGTCCCTGCTGGTCTTCATAAAATATGGGCAATACAAAATTGTATGCCCTTTCACAGCCATGTGAATACACTTAGCACTTCTGAACAGAACATTAAAAATGGTTAACGTGGCAGGTAGATTTTATGTCATGTGTTTCTGACCATAATTTTTAAAAATCCATGACCTATTTTATGTTTAAACCATATCTCGTACCACTGGGTGAGACAGAAGTGTCTTTTGTGAAACATTTTGACACAAGCTGAAACTTAAATGGCTGATTACATAACTCCAACAACAGACTTTCCTCTTGCATCCTGTTTATATGTGACAATAGTATTGTTTGTAAATTTAACTTAGCACTGCTTTGGGATAATCATCTCCAAATAACAGAAGCTGGCACATTTTGGCAGTGTGACCTTAGGCAGGTGTGATGTGTAACTATAGATGGACACAGACCTAGACATAGGTCACATCAGTGGGTAAAGAATATGAGACAGATACTATGAAGGGAAGATTTTTAATAAAACAGGTTCAAACAAGGACTCTGAAAATGAAATGTCAGCATGGCTTAAAACATACACGTAGAATCAAAAAATAAAATGCTCCCCCTTAATTAGTCTACAGGTTTGTTTTTTAAATGTTCTACCAAGGCTTCTCTCTGAATCTTAAAAGGCACAGTGATTGTGACTTTTCCCCTGTGTGCTTAGCCACTCAGTCGTGTCCAATTCTTTGCGACACCATGGACTGTAGCCCGCCAGGCTCTTCTGTCCATGTGAATTCTCCAGGCAATTTCCCCAACATATAGATATTGAAAGATTTACTATTTTTAAATGATATAGTAAACTGCTTCAGCAAGTTCTAATCACACTTTATTTAGCTACATTAGCCCTACTTTTAAAAAACAGAAACATATAATTTCAGCTAAACTTCATTAAACTAGAACTTTAAAACAGGTTATTTTAGGACTACCACTGGGTCTAATAACAAAGTTAAAAAAAAAAAAAGGAAAGTGTAATTTGGTTCCAAATGTAGCTGGTATCCACTGGCCAAGAATTGAAGAGCTGTTCAAGCAAATATTAATATGTAAGAAAGAGAGCACAGATGGTGTCATATAAGGATGAGAGTGAAATAAGCCCAACCACTGATGTCATTTTGATATCAAAGCAGCAGAATTCAAAATAATTATATGAAGTGCTTTCCAAACAAGGATCTCAATACATTTTACAGATAAAGACACTGGGGCATAAACTGATGAGGCACAAATAAAGCTGAGGGAATGAGCAGAGAAAAGTACTATTTCTCAGAGCTCACCTCTATCAGCTTGACTCCTGTTTCTAAACTAATTCCCCATTCCTATACACTGAGCTTACACACCTCTCCATTCTCTGAATCTCAATGGATTTTAAAATCAGAAGAAGAAATTGAGTAGAAATTAGGAATTATGATTACCATTATAAGATGAATAACTGTGACAAATGTTTTAGTAAATGTAAAAAAAAAAAAAGTAAGCCTGAAAATAGGAACCTGCCATCAGATTAAAGGAAATAACAACAATTGTGAGAACTGATATAGGAAAACTCTACTCAAATCTGTTATTAATAATTTCATATCTATCAGGAAGCTAAGACCACTCAGGCGTAAAATCATATTTTTAAAGAGAGTTTTCCTCCAATTACAGCCTTAAAAATACTAAACTGAAAAAAATAATAATTAGCCCTATGTTTCCTCCTTCATTGTCTATCTAGCACCTAATACAGAATTTTAAAACAATCACAAAAGAAAACAACATCTAACTGTTTTCAGGCACTCCTCATGGTCTCAAAATAGTCTGAAGGGCTCTGAATTCCATATGGCTTCCTCCATCTGACTACTGACACCCCATCTCATGAAAAAGACACAAATCCAGGCAAAAGGCCACAGACACTCTGACCAGCCTGGCGAGGCTCTACCAGCCCAAGCCAGGGTCAGCACGGTCGGGACCCTACCCATCCTTCCTCTCCAGCTCTGCCTGCTGCTCTCCTTGCCAACAGGATTGCGATCTGAGCATCCTGGATCCAGCCTGACAGCTGGCGGCTCCCGGCACATCTCAGCACTGCTGGGCCGGCACGCTTTCCTCTGTTCTGTTGTCATTTCCTTCTGCCTGAGCCCTCTAACAAGAGCATCACCAACAGGACAAACAGCAGAGGCTGGGAAGACCTCTTACTTACATTAAAAAACAGGTTGTCTCGGTCAACAACGTTGGCATAACCAGGGTGTGTGTTATCCATGGGGGGGTGGGGGGAGATGCATGCGCACTCGCCAACCGGAAGGACACAGCCCAAGCCCTATTTTCAACGCTGCCTATGATGGTGTCAACAGCCTCAAGTAAACCGGCAGAAACTTTGCCTTACAATCCTTTTTATGGATGAATAAAATATCATGTTAATGAAACATATAAAAGGGCAAAGTTGCTGGCTGGGGAAATCTCTAATAGAGGGAACAGGGGAATGCTAGAGAAAGGACAGGTGAGCCCCTAGTTGGTAACAGATTGGTCACAACGCATCAGACAAGGACAGAAATACACAATTCTCCTTCTCCAATGGACCAGGACAAGCTCGAGCACTTCCAGGGACATGGGGTCCCAGGGTGAAGACAGCATTCATCAGAGTATCCCATGCTGCTTTATCATCCAACCTCCTCCTGGGGAACTGTTCAATGGACAATTAAGATTTATAATCCAAATGATCTCAAAATTCTATCTCTGGGAAGTCAAGTCCAAATTAAATCAGACCAGGCTTTTAGGCTTCCAAGGATCGCATTTTCTCTTTTGAGCCAGTGCATTTCAACACTTGGAACTTCTCCTCTTACAGATTATTTTCAAGGCCATCTCTGGATGCAATCTCCTATGCAAAATCTGATGTATAAAATGAAAAAGGAAATTGGTGAACTCCAACTCTCAGAGAAAGAAGCTAAGGGGGAGACACTCTAACTTCCTTCAGCAGATTTTTCAAAAGTTACTTATTTTAACCTCCTTTCTCATAAATATTACTGGGACTGCTCCTAACCCAATATACACAGAGAACCTGATGAAACAAAAATGTCCAAAACTTAAGTTATTGCATATGGAAAGATTAAAGAACACCCAGCAGGGCTTTGAAATATAAAGGGCATAAGAATACTACATAATAGACATCTATTATTTAGAACATTTTAAATTATCACACTTCTCCCAGTGTTAACAGCACCAAGGCAGTGAAACAGGTAACTGACACAAGGCCCAGCCCCGCACCTCTCTTCTCTGACTTCTCCCCAGACTTGAGACAACATTCGTGCCCAAGAGGGACCCGCCTGGCCAGCCTAGCCCTAGAGGCAAAGAGAGGATGAAGGAAGAGGACCAGGAACTCACATTTCGGTGATGTTCTCGGGATCTGCACTGGTAGACTCCAGCCTCGGAAATGCCACGATGCCAGGAGAAGGATCGCCGCACCAGATCCGAGAGGCGCTGCACTTGCAGGATGTGGGACAGGCAAGAGCGGCCCTCCAGAAGCCCACAATCAGCCAGCAGAAGCCCCAGAGCCGCGCCATGGCAGGCCCATGCCACCTGGTCCAGGACGACATTCCTAGCCACCAGTGCCAGCCCAAGTTAGCCTGAGTGCGTGTCGCTGAGCTGTCCCGGCCGGTCTCCCCTGCCCGTGCTGAGTGGCCTTTGCCGCGTTCACGGCTCTCTCCTCTCGTTGCTGGTCTCAGGCGCGCAGAGCCGAGCGTGTCAGGGGCTGAGCGTGTCCTGTCGGGCGGCACCGTTCACAGTGGCAGGGGCATCTCCGGCCTTCTCACAGGGGGCGCTCCCGCCGCTCGGAGCTCCGCGGCGGCCGCCGCTGCATGGCCCAGCGAGCCGAGCACCCGCCGGCGGCGCTCCCGGGATGCTCTGGGGCTCAGGCTTCTGGCTAGACGCGCGCTGCGATCCGGGACGCACCTCGGGGCTGAGGACAAACAGATACGCGTAAGGCTGAGCTCAAGTCCCCATACGCCACGAACTGGGGTACTCTCCCTCCGCGCTCGCGTCACCCCCACCGCGAGCCCAGCCGGGATACTGTGGATAGATGAGTGCCCAGCTCCGGCCGGCCCTAGAAATAAACTTGCCCCTCGATGGCACTGACGCCGCGCTCACTGTGCCCACTCTCTCCCGGTGCCTAAGGCTGAAGGAGGGGAAAATGGGGCAAGGGTCAGGATCCCATGGCACCGGCCAGGGGTAGGACTCCTTAAAGGGAGGCGCGGAGACTGCCGAGGACGCTGGTTCCGCGACGGGGCCCCCGAATGATGCTGCAGAATCCGCCACAGCCCCTGGGCGCAGGGGGCGCGAGCAGGTGGCGCGGCGCGTCCCACCTGGGGAGCCGCCGCGGCCACCCCTAGGGGGACAATAAGGGCCGAGACGACGGAGGTCACTGTCCGCTCTGCTCACCCCGGCTCCGGCGCCTACCGCCCGCCGGCGGCGCCTGGGTCCAGGCTCCTCCTGCCGCTGGGCACGGAGCTCGGAGAGCTCGAGCGAAGCAGCGAGCGAGGCTCCTGCTCCAACCTAATTCCGGGAGCCGCCGCCGCCGCCGCCGCCGCCGCCGCCTCTGCTACTGCTGGCGAAGTGACGTGAGGGCTGACGCAGAGCAGGGGCAGAAACTCCAGAAAATTAGTCTGAAATCCAAAAACACACACGCTCATACACACACAAACCCATAACACCCTCCAGACAAAAGCAACAGGGAGGGGAGGGGAAACGGGGGGTGAGCGGGGAGGAGGGAGGCATCGGCGCCACTGGCCAGAAGCAGACAGCAGCAGCATGTGGGAGTTCACACACGCGCACACCCGCACACAGCCTGGCCGTGTAGACGCGCGCGCCTGTGTGTGCGTGTGTGTGCGTGCATTTAGACCCAGGTACCTCTAAGCGGAACCATTCCCCGGCTCTGACACCTCCCAGTCCCTAATTCACACCCAGGTTTCTTCTAAAATCGCAGTAGAGGCCGTCTCCTTTTTTGAAATGGAAACCGGGCTCGGTTCAGCTCTGAAAAATGCGCTGATTCTTATTATAGGAACCCTCCCTCCCTTTTCCCTCCCCGCTGCATTCTCCTTTCCCATCCTGCCTAAAAGAGAGGACGAGCTATCCTAAAAATAAATAAATATTGTAAACACCGAAACGTGTCCAGCGTTGGTAACCAAGGATAACCGCCCCCATTCCGGGTCATCTATTTGGGGATCGGTGTTTTCGGAGGGTCTTCCTGTTGGTGCTTTGGCAGAGGGAGGGCAGTCTCCAAATGCAACTCCAGCTCTCTAAGCGGGTCTTTTTTCCTACCGTTTTCTGGCATCACACGCCCGGGAAAAAGAGACTTGTGAGGGGAAGGGAGCGCGCCTGACGCGTATTGGGTTCCCTAAATGCGCGGTAGCAACCCTGGCCTGTCCGATTTGTGGCGCCGCGTCATTTTATCTCATCCTTCAACCTGGCAGGATGCAGCCATTCCCAGATCTTAGCTTCACTCGCCGCGATGCCCACCCCCACGCGGGGCACCCAGAGCCCTCGCTCCCTTGCCGTACCTTGCGCGTTTTCGTGTGTGCGTGGGTGAGAGCGAACGCGTGCCTTGCGCCCGCGCTGCCTGGAGCACGACACACATCCAGCTACTGAGAAGCCCGGCGCGGGCAGAGGCTGGGGGTCTCACTAGGGACAAACGAGGTGATCCGGGAGGGTCGAGTGACAAACCGTAACTGCTCTGAGGGCGCAGTTAAATGATGGCTGCGGGGCATTCGCAAGCCTTGTCTGAGAATCCGTCTTCGCATTTGCGGCTCGGAGAGTCCCTTTTTCCGCAGTCATTTAAAAGGGAACTGGGAAAATGCACCGCAGTGCCTGACACTTCCGAGGGCTCTGGTGCCCCCGCGCGGGGAGAGAGCGCCCGGCACGCTTGGGAGCACCAACCCACGGCCGCGGCGACGCCAGGCACTGCGCGAGGGGCGCTCTCTGGCTCCAGATGCGCAACCCGCGGCGCCCGACGCGTGCGCACCCCTGCCCGACCCGTGAGCGGCTCACCAGCTCTCGCCAGCTTCCTCCCGGGAAAAAGGCTGGCATACCTCCCCTCGAAAAAGGGCGACGGGGATGGGATCTCCTCCAAAAGATAAGCATGGCCACAAATCTATCCGAAAATGCTGGGGGTGGGTAGGATTGAGAACCCTGAACGCCAAGGTGAATGCTGAGATCTCGGCTCTGCCTTAAATATTACAAGGAAACTGAAAGCATTTAGTGGGGCTTTCGTACAGACCCTGGGCGCTGAGTGTAAGCGGGAATCCTCGGGCAACATCCGAATGATCTCTTTGCAGGGCAGAAAGACAAGGCCAGTAGGCCTTTCCCTCACCTCCATCACTTGGCTATGACACGCCTTGAGGGCTGAACTGGCCAGCCTGAAGTTCATTTCACTGCTCAGCCCCTGCTGGGGGAAGATATGCCAAAGTAGAGAAGCCAAGGGCAAAAATGTTTTGGTCCAGGTCATACAATAACATTCCTCCTTGTGTCTTGCCAGTGTCCTTAACGGAGCTGCCCCTGCGGAACACCTGGGGGAAGGGTGTGTACAGAAATACATCTCTCTCACATCTCCACTAGATTCCCATTTTTCCCAGAAAAGGTCCATTTGCACCCTACTGGCAGTAAAGTGTCAAGGCAACATCCAAAGGACCGCCAGTTTTAGAGTGGTTTGCAGATCAGAAGATTCTAATTATGTTGGAATATTTTTAGAATTTGTATTGTAAGAGATATGTAATACTAGTGTATTTAGAGTCTAACTATGCCCCTACCGAATATCTCTTAAAATTAAAACTAGCAGCCCCACTTCTGATCAGCTTTCTGTTCCTGCCCTGTTTCTTCTATAGTTCTTACCATGTTTTAATAGATAATTTACTTATTATATCATTTATAATTTATATTCATATTATTTCTCTTTCAGTAGAATATGAACTCCATGAAAGCAAGGATCTTTATTTTTCATTAATATATCTTAAGGATGTAGTCGGTATTAAAATATGTGTGTGTGTTTAATGAAATTAAGTGAAGTTGAGTTTCCTCAAACAGGCCAGCTACATTTTCTTAACCTCTAACCCTGCAAGTCTATCTGAATAATTCTCCCTGGACACCTTCCTTTCCATCTCTACAGTCTTTTCTGTGCTGTGAAAACTCACATCAGTTCTTGGAGCCTGACTTTCTGTGTTCTTGAGTCACCAGGTATGTTCTGGCAGGAGACTAGGGACAGCCTTCCTATATTTCACACTGGTACTTCAACATTTTCGTGTACAGTGCCTGAAACACACTGGACAATCAATAACTGTTTCTTAACTCATAAAAGTACCAATCTACCTCAATTTAAGACCTACAAGATATCAGGGTTTCTCAGACCATGGCTGTATATGTGATAGTGAACAATTGTCAGGTGAACAAAATAAAATAGGGATAATTTCCCCAAAATCATATGAACTCTTCAAGGCAGAGATGGAGACTAAGCATTGCAGACTCTTGTCCATATTGGACCATGATATTCCTAGAACAATGTTTCTCAGACTATTTTCACCGTGTTCTATGTACTAAGTTGCTTCAGTTGTGTCCAACTCTGCACGACCCTATGGACTGTAGCCCCCCAGGTTCCTCTGTCCATGGGATTCTCCAGGCAAGAATACTGGAGTGGGTTGCCATACCCTTCTCCAGGTGATCTTACCAACCCAGGGATCGAACCCTAGTCTCTTACATCTCCTGTATTGGCAGGTGGGTTCTTTACCATTTGCACCACCTGGGAAGCCCATGACCTACAGTAAAAAATGCCTTTTAGATCAAAATCCAATGCACAGGTATATATATGCATATGATTAATACAAAAGTTCCACTAAACAAAATTTGTTTTAATACATGGAATACAGTGGTATTTTGTTTTCTATTTTATGCCATTTCATTTTCTAGTGCTTGTAATAGCATAATAAGTTGATCTTAACATTCCATACTGGGTGATTAAAACAAAAACAGAAACACTGCCAGTTTCTGCCTCTGACTAAGATGGTGTAATAGGCAACATTTAGCCTCCGAACCAAACCAACAACACACTGAACAAAACACCTGAAACAACAACTTTCAAGACAGTGGGCATAAGGCAGTGAAGGGTGTGGCTCAAGGCAAGGGAACCCAGGCAGAGTTCAACTCCCTGATATAGCTGAAAGTTCAGGGAAATCAAGGAAGGCAGAGTTCCCAAGGACAGAAGCAGTGAAGAGGGTGATGGAGAGAGAGAGAGCACTCCAGAGGTCTGCAGAAGGTCCATTTTAAGTATTCAGTGAAGTGAAGTACTGATTAGCACATGCAGACAATTAAACTACTTGAAAAGATAAAGGGAGCAAGGTCAAAGAAACATTCAAAAGGGAAATTGAAAATATGACATATCAGAATTTGTGCTCAGCAAAGCTAGGAGGGTGGGGAAGGCAGATGTTAAACAAATATTTAAAAAAAGAATTTGTGCGATGCCACTAAAGCCTCTTCAAGTATTTAGGAGGAATTTTATAGCCTGTGTCAGGTAGCCTACTAAATGCCTATGTCAGCAAAGAAGAAATGTCTCTAACCAATGACCTCAATTTCCACCTTAAGAAACCAGAAGAATAAGAATATATGAAACATACAGTAAACATGGGAGATGAAATAATAAAGATCGGAATGGAAAATAATGCAATTTTTTAAAAAACAGAAAAACGAGAGAGAAGATCTATGAAGCCAAAAGACAATTCTTTGAGAAGATGAGTAAAATTGATAAATCTCTTGCTAGGCTAGCCAGAAATGAAAGAAAGAACACACAGATTATCAATCAGTTCAGTTTAGTTGCTCAGTCATGTCCCACTCTTTGCTACCCCACGGACTGCAGCACGCCAGGTTATCAATAACAGCAGTGAAAGCAATGACAACGTCAGAGAGTTGGAAATATTGTGAACAATGCTATGCAGATGAAGTTGACAGTTTAAATGAGAGGTGTATTTTTGAGAGATAAAAGCTAACAAAGCTCACTAGAGAAGGAATAGATTACCTAAATAGTCCCATATCTATTTGAGAAGTTTAATCTATAGTTTAAAATCTTCCCATTAAAAAAACTCCATTTTGTTGTTGTAAGGCAAAAATCAGCACAACGTTGTAAAGCAATTTCCTCCAATTAAAAAATTAATTTTAAAAAATTTTTAAGAAAAGAAAACTCCAGGGCCAAATGGCTTCTTTAATGAATTTCACAAAATAATTAAGGAAAAATAATACCATAAAATACTTTAAAACTAACACAATTTACCATACTTACAGACTAAAAAGTTAAAATTATATCATGATTTCAAAATACTTAGGAAAGTATTTGATTACATCTACCCCTGAAAACTCTTGGCAAACTAGAAATAAAAAGTAACAGCCTCAATTGATAAGTAGAATCTATGAAAAAACCTACAGCTAACATAATGCTTAAAGTGGAAAACAGAATGCTCTTTCCCAAATATCAACAAGGATATCCAATTTCACCATTTCTATTCAACATTATACTGGAGATTCTAGTCAGTGCAGTAAGTAAAGAAATATAGATTTTTAAAAATCCATATTGGAAAATAAGAATAAAACCACCTTTATAAACAAACAACATGATCTCTTACATAGAAAATTCAATAAACTCTAACTACAAAAGTGAGTGAAGTGAAGTCGTTCAGTCATGTCTGACTCTTTGTGACCCCACGGACTGTATCCTACCAGGTTCCTCCGTCCATGAGATTTTCCAGGCAAGAATACTGGAGTGGGTTGCCATTTCCTTCTCCAGGAGATCTTCCTGACCCAGGGATTGAACGTGGGTCTCCTGCATTGTATAGACACTTTACCATCTGAAACACCAGGGAAGTCTTGCAACTACACAAAAGTTACTCATATTAATAAGTGAATTATGAAGTTTGCAGAATGCAACTTAAGTGTTTACAAATTAATTGCATCATATACTAGTGATAAAAAATCAGGAATTAAAATTTTAAAATAATACTAATTACAATAGCATAAAATATAAAATACTTAGAAATAAAACATAATATAAAAAAGAAAAATTGATAATTAGGTTTTATGAAAATTACTAATTTCTGCTCTTAAAAACACACTTTTAAAATAATGAAAAGAAAAGCCCAAAACTGAGAGACTTCTTCGCAAATCACATGTCTAATAAAGGGCTTATAGAGACTTTATAAAGAACTCACAAAGCTTAATAATAATAAACAATTGCAAAGTATGCAAATGATTTCAACATGTATTTTACCAAAGAAAGTATTACGTTGGCAGATAAGCACATGAGAAGATGCTCAACATCATTAGGGGGAAATGCAAATTAAAACTATAAGGAGATACCTACATACCAATTACAATGGCTAAAATTTAAAAAGTTCACTATATCCAGTGTTGGTGAGAATGTGAAGCAGTTGGATTTCTCATACACTACTGGTGGGAGTGTAAAATAACACAACCACTTTGGAAAAGTAGAACAGTTTCTTAAAAAGTGAACCATACACCTACCATGTGATTCACCCACTCTAATTCTATGTATTTCAGTTTCAGTTTTCAGTTCATTCACTCAGTCGTGTCCAACTCTGTGTGACCCCATGAACGCCAGGCTTCCTTGTCCATCACCAGCTCCTGGAGTTTACCCAAACTCATGTCCATTGAGTCAGTGATGCCATCCAACCATCTCATCCTCTGTCATCCCCTTCTCCTCCCACCCTCAATCTTTCCCAGCATCAGGGTCTTTTCAAATGAGTCAGGTCTTCACAGGTGGCCAAAGTATTGGAGTTTCAGCTTCAACATCAGTCCTTCCAAAGAACACTGAGGACTGATCTCCTTTAGGATGGACTGGTTGGATCTCCTTGCAGTCCAAGGGACTCTCAAGAGTCTTCTCCAACACCACAGTTCAAAATCATCAATTCTTCAGTGCTCAGCTTTCTTCATAGTCCAACACTCACATCCATACATGACCACTGGAAAAACCATAGCCTTGACTAGGTGGACTTTTGTTGACAAAGTAATGTCTCTGCTTTTTAATATGCTGTCTAGGTTGGTCATAACTTTCCTTCCAAGGAGTAAGCATCTTTTAATTTCATGT